TTATAGAAAAAGTTTTACAAGGTTGAAAACTCGTACCAGAAATTTCTTCATCGAGCTTCTCAAAATATCTAAATGCTGCCAACATGATTAAATTATGAACATCTTTTTAGCTTTAAAAGCCAAAATAACACCAACATAATTTAACCATGGATAACTAATTAGATAAGAATTTACAACAGTTTAGTTCTATCATACCAACAACAAAAATTTACAAGGCAACAATTAGCCAACAAGCAACAATTCATCATTTAGATAAAAAACAATCAACATTCAAATGATTTCTAATCAGCATTCAGACCAAGTCCAGTCAGCATTCATACCAAGTCCAGCCAGCATTCATACCAATCCAATCAATGGTAAAGCGCTAAACATTTTCAACTTTACCAAACCTACAAAAGTTAAAACATCGGTAAAGCATTCATTTATATGCCAGCAGTAGCATGCTTGCTAAAATTCATGAAAATTAATGAAAAACAAATAAATGTAAAAGCAATAGCACCCTACAATAAATCATTTCAAGTATTAATGAAAATTATGAAATAAACACAATAAAGAAATTACCATACAAGGGAATAATCAAAAAAGAATTATTAACAAATACATTCAAATGTGCTTGTGGTAAATGTAAAAGCAGTAACACCTACAAAAGCAAAAAATCATTTAATAAACAATTTAAATGAAATAAACATAAGAGAAATAAAGCAAATCAAATATTTACCTTTAAAGGGAAGAATCAGTAGCTACAGAAAGATACTTGTCATCCCTTTTTTCTGGTTCAAAACCATACAACCAATTTCGAGTTGTTACAAAAATCTCAATATTTTTAGGTAAAAGTTTGACTCTCAACTTGTTCAAAATACGACCCTCCATGCTAAAGGAATATTCAAAAGCAACTGAAGTAATTGGAATGACCAATATATCTCTCGCCATGCTAGAGAGTAGGGATGGGCATGGGTAAGTTTTCGGCCAACCTGACCCGACCAAAAAATTTTACATCCTTCACCCGACCCAACCCGAAAAATATATACCCAATCCTAACTCGACCCGATTTTTTGAGATAAAATCTGAATCCGATCTGATATGACCCGAAATAATAAAAAATATTATTTTTATTCAATAAAAATAGCGATTTAATTAAAAAATAATATATATAGGGGTATTATTGTAATTATTCTTAAATATATAAGGTAAAATTATATTTTTTTGGGTCGGGTCGGGTATTTTTTACCCTAAACCCGAATCTGACCCGACCCTAACATCACCTTTAAAAAATTTGACCCGAATCAAACCCAAATTTAAAAAAACGACCTGATCGGGTCGGATCCGGGTCCGGGAATCCGTTGGGTTCCCGGATAAGAAGCATTTTGTGATTTCCAATACCTCAAAATGTCAAACTCAGCATCTTCATTACGGGGAACAATAGGCAAATTAAAGTATGAAGCATCAAAATTAGCATCAAAATTCTGAAAATAAAAATAAAATAAAATAGTTAGAATTTTAAAAATAAAATAATCAAATTAAAATAATTAAAATTATAAAAAAAATCGACTTGAAATAGATCATATTTTTAAATGTTTGAGGTCGATTGGAAGAACTTAACTCACTTGTCTCTAGAGATATGTTACTTTGGACAAAAGAAAAAAAAACTAAAAAGTGTATATTTTAAATAATATATATATTAACAAACTCATTATATATGACATTTACTCTTCGTTGAACATGATCCTCTACATAAATAACAATGTACAACTCCTTCAAGAGTTGTAATTTAGATCAATGATCAAGAAAAATAACAATAGACGAAATCAATGAGTGATCAGACTAATATTTCTCATATAATTCAAGCATGTGCCCTACCATTACAGAAATGCTTTGACAAGGATCATTGTGAGCATTACACAACAACTTTTCAATTGCAACAACATTAGCCAAATACAAGTTAAAGGTGGGATACTTAGATCCAGAGAACCGAGTAGTAATTTCATACAATGACTCAAGAAAATAACAAATTGTTTGAACAGTTTCCCACTCATATTAAGTAATAGCATCCAAGTCATTTTCCCTATTCACAAACAAATTAATGGCTAATTTAGCATCAAGTGCCCTATGAATCATTAAGTAAGTAGAATTCCATCAAGTAAGAACATCTAGTAATAATTTACCACGAAAATAATATTCACAATTTTTAACAGCTAATTTAAAGACACAAAGTCGAGAATCAGAAAAATCAATAAACTTAACAATTTCTCGTAACTTAATAACAAAAGAATCAATTACCTTCAAACATTTTTGAACTAACAAGTTCAAAATGTATGCAGCACACCTTACATGAAAATATTTACCATTGCATAGAAGATGTGAAATAACATGCAAATCATCTCTATGCCTTTTAACCATTTTATCATTTGCAAAAGCATTGTCAAGAGTTATGGTAAAAACTTTTCTTTCAAGACCCCACTCGCATATCATTTTTTTCATAGACTTAAAAATTGACTCAACATAATGTGGTGGAGAAAAACGATGAAAATTTAGTATTGTAGACTGAAGTGTCCAATTATTATCAACATAGTGTGCAGTGATTCAAGTAGATATTTTTTTTGCTTTTCATACTGTAATATGCAAAATTTAGTAAGAATATACCTCGAAATATTCTTCGCATTAACATTAAGGTAAAGATGCAAAACCCTAAGTTTATCATGCTCAACCATACACAAAACATAACCATGACATAAAATAGCCTCATCAAACAATTCACAATATCTATTTTGATAGAGTAGCTCATGGAAGCTTTAATTAATTAGCATTGTGAAACGATGATCAATTCTCATTCACCTACCATTATTATTACATAGTACAATCGGGCATTATGTCTCCTTAATTTCTTTGCTTGAACCAATCAATTAAATTAATCTTTCATGGAAAAGAATTCTGAAACGAATTTTCTTGCAGACTTTTGTTTTGTCGTTACGATAGAAATGTTAGTAAAAGATAAAAGGAAAACGTTTTCAGAAAATGATAGGTGAGGTACAATAAGTGCTAGGGTCACAATAATTTTGTTACACTGAGAAATGAGTGTTGCTTTCCTTGCACAAAGGAAGTCACGTTTTGAAATCATGACACACTGACCCACAAATTTATAAAATTTACATGGGTGTCCTTATATATGTATATTTTTTTAAAAACTATTATTAACATACGAGTTAACGACATTATTGGTTGTTTATATTTGTGTTTTATCTATTTTTTTCATTGATCTTAAAGAACATAATATATGATCATTTTTGTTTTTATTTAATTAAGACGTAGTCATCACAGTTAATTAAATATTTTGGTATAATCACATATTTAATCCTCATTATTTTCATGTTATCTCATTTTAATCCTACTTGTAATAAAATAAATAAATGTAATCCTTCAATTAAACGATACCATTCGATTGAAGGAATAATTTTATTTTATTTTAATATATTTATTTTCTACCAATTAGATGGTGATCTGATTGAAAGATAATAAAACAAAGCAAATTAGTGCCAAAGAGATTTGAACCTCAGTCACTTAGGTAACCAAGAATGTGCCCTACCATCGAGCCAAGACATGCCGAAGTCGCCGACATGTGCAACCATGTCATCATCCAGAAAAATATTGGTCGGTTTTAGATCTCGGTGAACGATCGGTGTTCGACAAAGGTGAAAGTATTCTAGTGCGTTGGCCACGTCTATAGCAATGCCCAACATTTGATTGAGCAAAGTTGAGGTGAAGTGACGAGTGAGCTTCCTCATGACCATGATGAAGCCAACTCTCTAAACTTCCATTCGCCATGAATTCCAAAACCAAAGCCTTGAAATCATTGCCTTGGAAGTTTATGCTTGCGCAACAAGTTATCAGCTTGATTAGATTTCGATGTCGAACATTCCTGAAAGCCTCACATTCATCCATGAAACTCTTGATTGCCCCAAGGTTCCGAAGGTTCGGTACTTTGATTGCAACAGGGTTTTCTTGTTGATCAAGAAACCCTTTATAAACAGAACCAAAACTGCCCTCACCAATTAAGTTCAGCGCTGCGAAACCATTAGTTGCTTCGACGAGTTCCTTGTACAAAACTCGCACGAAGCTAACTCGCCACAAAGCCGAAGGGATCATTTCTTTTACCGACCGTTTCTTCCAGTAAACAGTAGCAATGAATGCAACCTAAACCGAAACAAGAGAAAGGATAATGACAATAACGACAATGGAATCGTCGATAAACCATTTGCTTCTTCATCTGTGATCTAAGCATTTCGAAAGCTCGATTTCAGGAATCCCCCACCAAGATCCTTATTTCCAATGACAGATAATTGATTGATATTCTTGAAGACCCCTTCTTCTGGAACTTCACCATCTAATTGGTTGAAAGAAAGGTTTAAACTCGCCAAAATGGAAGATTTTGAAGTTCAAGCGGGTATTGTGTCCGTCAATTATTATTACCGGAGAGATCTATGCTTTCAAGTCCTAAGAGAGGCAAGAGCTCGAGGAATGCTACCCTGAAACTTGTTTCCTTGCATGTACAAGACTCTTAGTCCTGAAATCCATGTCTCAGGGATTTCACCCGAGAAATTGTTGTTCGACGTATAACTCGACGAGATTCTTGGAGCTACCATTGTAAGAGTTGTGAGACAAATTCAAAGTAATCAAACGTTCAAAATCAGCAACCAGTTGATTCGGTATACTGCCACCGAGCAGTGGCGGAGCTATATGCTTTTCAAGACGCGCACGTGCCTAATTTTTATATATGTGCCCACCTTAAAATTAAATTTGTGCCTACTTTAAATTTTTTTATGCCCACCCTGGATTTATTTCTGTTCAAAGATAACTATAAATGTCTTATAAACATTATTTTTGTTTGGGTTTAAAAATTCATTTACAAGCTCGAATCAAAATAAAACCAAGAATATATCTTATTAAAACTTAAATCCAATATACAACTCAAATTTAATATACAATCCAGATCTAATCCCTTAACCACAATAACAACCGGTAACTGATCAACCCAACCCCCAATCCCCTTCAAATTCACTTTGCACCCAATACTAAAAAATGACAAAATAATTATCTATTCTCATATTTCAGCGGAATTAATCTAGAAAAACTCCAATAACTTGATAAGACTATAATATGTAAAAAATTGTTCACAACCTAAATATCCGCAAAAAAAATAGTCTACAGACCTGAAAAAAATAGAGAATAACTAACAGATGAAACTAAAATAAATAGAGCAAATTCAAAGGAAATATCAAACCTTTATTGAGATTTTCCGGTGACAGCGAACGTCTCCGACCGTAAATTCGTATTGTGGCGAACCGTATCCTTTCTGTATGTCCGAGATATATGAGATAAAATGAAGAGTTAGGATGACATAGTTAACTAAAGACAAAACCTAAAGAATGGGTAGTAGATACTGGTAGATTCACGTCAGGCGCTTATCCTTTATGTTATCCCGACTCTTGATTATTCTATTAGTATCCATGTCCGATGATATCCGGATATGGTAAGGGAATATAATCTTCAAAAGACCCTCAAAATACATGAAAACATTGGGAAAAAATTGAACATAACCATGCATGATGCATATCCTAAACATAGACGCGATGATAAGAATCATATGATCCTTCAAAGATCCTCCACACACATTGGAATCTTGAAAAAAGGGAAAATCAAACATATTTGTGTCCAGATAACAGTGAAGAACAATTAGACAGAGCATATGCTTACATGCACCCAGGTTTCTGCCATCATGGAATTTGTCAATGAGTGCTTTATCTTGTTGATGGCTTCAAATTTTCAGAAATTCACAAGTTTTAAGATTATTAAGATGTAAACATTAGTGCAACAAACTTGGCAGTTGATATAGTAAGAAAGCACACTTACTGAGCCCAACAGAGTTCAATCAAGGAAGCCACAACTCGGTTTACATTGCTTGGTATCTCAAGCCTTTTGCCTTTAAAACCTACAGCAGCCACAACCTACAGAAACAAATCACCTCGATTTTAAGACTATATTTACATGTATATATGCTTCTGCATTTATAAGTATATGAATATGCAGGTTTTATATTTAACCTCTGAACTATACTTGTCAGTTTCTTTTCCAAATCTACGGGCAGCTATGTTACTCGGACTCGCGTGTGATAGGTTTGTGGATAAACCATTTCTGATGAAATGAATGATAAAAGACCTGTGGTGGGTTTAACTGCTTCCATGGTTGTTGCAGTGTCATAAGTTCCCAAAGAACCACTCCAAAGCAATAAACATCGGATTTCTCATTTGAATTCTCATCACATAGAACTTCAGGTGCCATCCACTCAGGCTAGACAAAGAGCAAGGATACTTGTCTTTTAGTTGGTAAATCCTTGATATTTGGATTTGTATCTGTAGCTGTTATTATCAGATGGATTCCCCTTCATTGTTATCCAAGGTTTTTCTTTTCATCTTTTGCTAATTCTCGAATTATGCGATGGAATGGAATTTCTTCCTCGAAAGACCATGACAAGAATGAATAGGGGAATTTTGGCTTTATGATTACGTTCGCGAGAACGGAAGTTGATGGGAGATGCGAGTGGGACAAGCAAACAACGATGGGGGCAGCCATTAATTAAATTAAAATGTAGAGATTCACTGAATCTGTCTTGGTGTTCCACTGTGCTTTTACAGGCGGAAAGAAGACCGAGTTCGTTGAATGTAGATTCCTCTCTTTATCAACCGGTGGAAGTCCTCCGCAAGCCCCTCTACTATAGAGAATATATCAATTTAGTACTATTTTCTATTAAATGAAGCAATTTAATCCTTCAATTATAGAGACTGGTTCAAATTAGTCCCTATAATATAGAGATTGATTCAAAGTTACCCCTCTACTAGATCAGGTACTCTCTGACTGCTAAAATGAATCGAATAATATCAACTCGTTTTACAAGCTAACATTTCTTGCTAGAAATACCAATTATTATTCAATAGAGTTAATAGTTTTGTAGATTTTATGGTTCTATCGATTAAGTCTTTTGTCTGAAGTTGAACCCAAAATGAAAAGAATGATTTCAATATCATTTTAAATAATAATGTTAAATCTAAAAAAATTTGACATTATTTTTTTAGTACATGGACTAAATTAATTCATTTAATAAAAGGAATAGTTTTAATCAATCTCTCTAGTAGGACTATATCCATTTAATTGTAGACGATTAAATTGATATAATCCATGTAATAAAGGACTTGATAAGAACTTTCACCTTATCCATATCATAGAATCAGTTTATTTAATCCTCAAACCATGACCCAATTCTAAATTAACCTCTAATTTCAAATGTTTCTCATTGAATCCTTTTTTTTATTTTTTTATTTCCCGAACAAATAATTCTAAATCCATAAATAAAAAGAACATAAATCTCAAAATCCAAATTTAAGTCTCACAACCTAAACCCTGTCTTAGAAAGCTTTAATAGCTTTCATCCCCTAAAGAACATCCCACGGACAACTCGGAATATAGCATTTTTATGAAATGGATTAAAACAATTAAACAGTCACAACTAATTAAGCAACACCATCATCAATTATCAAACTTTAACATTTGGTGCTAATAATCTGAGCATGTTTTTTAAAAAATTTGTAGGACTTTTGAATGCTAATTTCGTCCGTCAATCTTGCTTCAAGGCCTTTGTTATGTAGGCTCTTGTAAGTACTATTGCTAAATAAGCAAATACCGTTACAGTTATACCTCCAAGCAGAACCAGTCGATCATATGCAGCTTCCTGTACTGTGTACCCGGAGACCGATCGTATTCCAATTGCTCTCTGTCCAAACAGGTCCAACATCCCCATGGGATCGGAGGAGTTCGGTGGCAGCACTTTCCAAGTTCCAGAGTCAAACTTCAAGCGAGTTGAATATGCCGGTACATACCTATAATGAGGAATCGCATTCACTTGTGATTCTAGAAATATAACGGCTGCACTGTCTAACCATAATTAAAGATGCTACTCAGTGATTTTGCAAGTGCTATAGCTAAATCTCACATAGTCACATTTAATGATACAACTGCTTCAATGCGGTACTGACAATGTACTGAACACGTGTTATATAATTAGTGCAGAGCTTTGTATCAACCGATAATCATCATCTAGCATCAGACAAAACATGCCGAAATCCAGAGCATGAAAGATAAGATGAGGTAAGACACAAGCAATGAGCAGTAATATGCACTGCTCCTCTTAATGCTCGCCTAGTACAAATCTATTCAGGGTTTTACTTAAATAACATGCTTTTAGAAACTTCAAGCTGTAAAGTTACCTGGTTGTGGAGACAACGCAAACGCCTTTTCCATTGAGTTCTGCTCTAATGCACACTCCATTTTTTCCACAATCCTCTGAGCAAACAGAAGTATTGCCCTTTGGAGTTGATGTTCTATCTGCCAGAAAGTTCCATACGAACCTTGAAACGTCATCCACCTGATTGGGGTAAGGTGTTGAGGAAGGTTCTCCAAGAACAACACCAACATAATGGCTTGGGCACGTATTGGTGCTCCTAATATAGCTACTAACCAACTCACATGACAGACCAGGATCACATTTCAACATGCAACTAATTAGTTCTTCTACTAGAGAGGCATTCGCATTGATTGCACTTAGAGCCGACCTGGTTAAATCTTTTTTATCACTTGCAAGAAGATAGAGGGTCCGGGCAACAAGAGATGCAGCTGCAACTATCGATGAGGAGTTTATATTTGCTGCAAAATAGATGATGCCCAGAGTAGCTGCAAGTTTGAGTAACCAAAGACAAGGAATACAGCAGAGAGAAACAAACAAGAATGCAGATCAGCTCACCTGGATCATCAAGATGACTATGGTAGAACTTGTTGGCAAAACAGTATCAAATCCTCTAACACAATCCCAGAAGTTGAAGAGTTCTACTAGGAGATCAAAAAGCAGATTATAAGATACTGTTTTACTTTTGAGTTTGTATACGTAACGCATAAAGAGACAAACTTGGCAGTGCATAGTGGAAGAGTTAATTAAAGATAATTCATATGAAAAGCACACATTAGGCAACAAGAATGGAGAGACTAGTTTGTGCTTAGACTTTCAGGACTATACTCGAACAGAACCAAAAATATTTCTTACGGATTAAAGGTTAAATAATAAAGCTACAGTGAGTTAAATATGAAATTTCTAAATAAAAATGAAAAGCCTGTATTTTCAACAAAAAATAAAGCATTGGTTATGACTTGATTATTTCTACCCAAAAGAAAACATTGATAAGTATGCTACATCACTACTGATATTAACCATTGAAATCATTGCCATCTAACTCCTAGTCCACTTATCATTCTCTAAATGGCAAGATATTTTCAACAAGAAAATATGCGAAAGGGACATGGGCTTCTCTTTAAAAGGGAAGGCCTAAAAGGTAAGATGCTTTGAAAAATCATTGGAAAAAAAGGGAAGAAATGGTTTTTCCTTGAGTCGGAAGGTGGGGTCTCTTCACATCATGTGGTAATGCAGACTATGAATCATTATATTTCTAACAAGGAACAGCTCCAATGAGATTAACTAAATTTCATATAGGTTTCTTCGAATCAAAATGACTTGGAGCTCTAGTTGGAAAAGGCAGTATGTAGTGAACAAAACAAAAATGAAAAATAACTATGTCAACACAAATGTAAGAGTTAAAGTTTATTCCACAAAACCTTTCTCAGAACAAGAGTTAAAGTTTATTCCACAAAACCTTTCTCAGAAATGCCATCAAGGATGATGGAGGAATTCCAGGATTTGATGAGCTGGCATTTGAAACTGTAACACCTTCAGATTTAAGGGACTCTTGAGCTAGTTTCAAGGCATCCAAAGCTTCATTTGCAGATGAAACCTACATTAATACCGGAGAGACTTAAACGATAGTGACAATTAGTTATCAAAGGGTAATAAATGCTTAATAATTAATTTGAGTACCATAAATTTACATGAAAGCATAGTACGCATAGCATCAACCTCCTAAGCATGCTAGGCCTAGCATAACATATTGTAAATTATCTCAATCAAGAGAAACTGGACGTCACTGATTAAGTGTAATTATCATGGAAACAATTTTTCTTGTAATAAGATCATAGAGCTAATATAAGCAGCACAACTAGGATGAGGGGAATTTTTTTGGTTCTTAGGATGATGGGGAGATTGGTTTAGGAAAAAAAGTGAATGACTTTGACTTTGAACTAAGGCTCAAGTTTGATCTACTTTGGTTCCGCTTGTTTTAAAAGTTTGAGATATTCTGAATGAACATTTTGAACCCAAACTGGGGTGGCTAGCTGCAATTACATTTTAACATTGCCAACTTCAATAGGGACATTAAAAGGGACTCAGAGCAAAGTGTTTTCATTGCTACCCCTATTGTAAATCATCCCCCATCACCATCAGATGAATGCAGCAGCCATATATAGAAGCATATAGCATTAATGCCTAAACACACCGCTGCAATAATCAGTCAAATCAAGAATTCCCTCAATCATTTCCACCTTTTAACCTATGGCAATATGTTGTATTGCAAACAACAAAACCTGCATAGAAAGTTTAAATATAAAAGAACACAAACAACCATGTACAATGTTTAACACTATTTTTTCGGCGTACAATGTGATACATTTTCAATATTCATAAAAAAAAGAAAGAAAAATGCCATTGCTACCTTTGTGTGAGCAAAAAAGGTTTTGTTCCCTTGACTTAAGCCCTTTCCAGTTGACCCAATTTCCATGACCTTTTCCAAGAAATCAAAGAAACAAGTTGCATTCATGAAAGGAAAACTTGACATGAATTAGGGCAACTATGTAACATAGAAAATGCAAAAATGAGCAACAGTAGTCATGCTAGCCAAAGAAACCCCCTCCAATTACATGGTGCAAAACAAGTTTAAACAAAGGAGAAGAATACCAACTGAATCAGTGTGCTATTGAGACCATGAACAGCATCTGACTGCTTATCAAGTTCAAGTAAAAATCTCCTGCTACCAAGGTAACCCCAGGCCTCACCAGTGAAAACAAGAAAGACAAGCTGCAGTAAATTAATAGAAACATTAACAAATGAAAAAGCTATCTTGTAGATTGACAATCCCAGAAATGTAACTAGGAAGAATGCCATAGAATACTTGTTTATTAAGGTCGTCTAAACCATCTACATGAGAAAGGGCATCAACTGCTGCCAGCAATGATATGACTCCCTGAAAAGTATTGTGAACAAAGGTTTGGATTTACTTGGCAGAAAACACAAATAAATGAAGAAACCTTACCAAAAAAGACATGAGCTTACAGATATAGGAGAGTCTGCACCAAGGCTTTTGTCCCGAAAAAATGACGCAGCATCCATAGAAGCCAC